TAACGGTCGCGATATATTATACTTATACAAAATCATTTGTTCAAATAATAAATACTAAACCTATATTCAGTGGTACCGCCAAAAATGATTGGTGAATATACGTGTTCTTACCGGCATAATTCAGGTAAAATCTGTGGCAATGCCTGTATTCGGCCTGAGGGGTGCCGGTTTCATTGGAAATCGAAAAAACGTTCTTCTTGTACTGACTGCGGTAAGCCTACAGGCTCAAAATCTGGTCGTTGCCCACTGCATATTAGAGGGTACTATGTGACTCAACATTATCATAGACTCCGTGACAAAACTTCAGACTACGTCATTACCCTAATTATCTTTGAGAGTGGTAACAACACAGACGCGTAGCGGCTTTGCTACGCAAATAAGTTGTTTTAGATTTGTTCGAAAAAACGTGACAGATCTCGATTTTTACAACGCTTCGCGCACAGCTATGCTGTGATAACAAAGTCAAACAATGCATGATAATCAACGTTTTACGTCCTATATCCTAGACTTTTTTGTTAGACTTGACAGCGAAAAAAAAAGGAGATAAGCTCTAAATCGCATAATTTCTGAGATTTTCTGTCCCAACTTTTTCGCTAGTCTAGACATTGCAATTTTCGTTAGGCTTCATTTTTTTGGATTTAAGACATTTTAAGACTTTCTTTTCTGAAAATGTCGAGTTAATGCTAAATTATTGGTAATTACACTAAAACAGATTGATTTAGCCCTAAAAATGTCTAACGAAAAAAACTAAAAGTTAGCGAGTTAGCAGCTAAATCAGTATTTTTTCTGTCTCAAAACCCCCAATTTGGCATTGTGTACCTCGGTTCTAATTACGATCATAGACAAGGGATTTAGATTTCGACCAATAAGAGTAGAGAGATTTGTTCTCGTTAATTGCTTGATAATAAACATACTTTCAATCCACTTGGGAACGGGGGGTTGATGCTCAAAATGCCAAGGTACTGTATCTGCCTTCCAACAATTATACAAAATCAATTAAGCAATATATTTTTTATATTAATATATTGACTTACTCCTTAAACGTATCTCGATTAGGGACATGAACATCTTATTAGGCAATGTAATTGCGGGTGCTCTCATCAGCTACCTCCCCTCTCCAATTTGGTAATCAAGGTTGCTAAAATTGGCTGTCACAGTACTGCAGTAGGGAGGCAGAGGGGAGGTACCATAATTGGTAATTGTTTGTGACGTCTGCTTGTGATAACAAAATTTTCACATGTCGTATTGTGTGACATTGACATTCTAATAAACACATGTATTAAAATTAATATCAAAGTACGTTTCGCGCGTTATCTATCACTTCGCTCAATCATGAAACGATCATATTCAAACCAAAAGAAAAGTGATGATGTCTTTATTTATATGTATAATCCATCGCTCGAGCCTACTCCTACGCCCAACATCGACCTCCCTACGCAATCAAACTGTACCACTGAAATCAATGAAGTTAATGAGATAAATCATCTTGAAAATTTTGTGAATGAGCATACTGATGGTAAGTATTAGAAACGTAATTACAATAATAATAATAATCCCTAACATAGCTTAAAGTAGAATCTGGAATGGCAAATATCAAGCGACAAAAGCAATGGGGCCGGAATGAAACGTTGGCTTTGCTAGAGATAATGAAAAATTATTACAAAGCTCTTAATACTGCTAAGTCACTCAGCCAAAAGGCAAAAATATGGCAAAATATCTGTGAGCAATTTGACACATTATACCCGAATAGGAGCGAAAAGGGCTATAAGAAAAAGGTATTTGTACGCCATAACGTGTTACGGATGCGTTGCTTCAGTATAAAAATACTGAGCAACGGTTTATTGATAGGTGGGAGAAGCTTTTGGCGGAATATAAGAAAATGCAAGACAATAATCGGCGAACGGGTGCGGAAAGAATGGAGTTTGAATATCAAGAGGAAATTCAGGATATAGTCACTGACGATCCAGTGTTCAACGAAGTGTACGACTCAGCCAATAGGGCAACTAGTATGTCGGAAAAGAAAAAAAGAGAAAAACGAAATGAAACGTTAGAGCTAATTGCACAGCTACATGAACAGAGTAGGAACGAAAATCGAGAATTTCAAAATCGATTACTAACAGTCTTGGAAACGTTTTTGTCTTCAATCGGAAATTAAGCTGTTGGTATCATCATTCGATAGCATAATGTATATCCAATAGCTATGCGACAAGTGTCCGATATTCTTATCGGAAATATAAGATCAGAGGAATAAAAATATCTATTAATAAAAAGCGGTTTATCCTTGACACATGTAGAACGAGTCAATTTAGTATCAGTGTAAATGCGTGCTGCATGATTTATTAGAATTATTCATCAAACAATTGCCTAACTATTTGATTTCTTTTAATTTCTGCATTACGAAGCGTAGCCACATGAGCACCCAAATTTACATCTATGATTTCGTTATTTGCATCACTGATTAAATTCACATCCTCCCACAGATCGTCACAATCAATGCAGAGGTTGTGGAGGATGCAACATACGTCTATTATATCAACCATTGTAGTCAGATCAGTTACCTCCATCGGATTTTTTAATATGCGCCATCTGCCTTTAAGTTTCCCAAACGCTCTCTCCACAGCCATGCGAGCAGATGAATGTACTTTATTGTATTGTCGTTGAGGTCTAGTAAGCCGCTGAGTCACGCGCTCCTTAAATGGCACAAACAACCATGGCATTAAAGGGAATGCAGAATCACCTAGATGTGTGTATCATTTGGAAAGCGTCGGGCTGGATTCTGAAAAAAAAACGTTTATTATGTGGTATAATTCGTTGCAATCACTTTGCTTTTGAATACTAATACTTACGTCCATTACTTCACTCCAAAGGTTTGACTGTTTAAAAACCCTCGAATCATGCATAACTACCAGGTTGGCCAGTATAAACGTAGGTAAATTTCTCCATATGATCGACGATAGCCATTAATACAACACTATAGCATCCTTTACGATTAATATATCGTTGATGATATTCAACTTGTGGTCGTTGAATTGGAATATGTGACCCATCAATGGCTCCAATTACGTTTGGTATAGGATTTCTAAATTCAGGTGGAGCAAAACCTTCGACTACTTCTTGCATTGATTGATCTGTGGGCCATTTGATTGCATATTGTAAATTTTTCAGAACTGCGATGCAAAATCTTTTCGTGAAATTTTCCACAGATCCCTGGCTGATACCAAACGATGTTTCTAATTCTCTATAAGACATAGGGTTTGCGAAGCGTTGTAATACGATCGCAACTTGCATTTCGATAGGAGTTTGTGGTTTGAATGGATTAGACTGATAGACGGGATGATTGGAGATGGTATTAAGAAGTCTGTGGAAGGTAGTCTTTGTTATGCGAAAATGAGATTTAAAACCATTTGTAAGGCTATCATCATTGAGATTAGGATAAATATTCGTCCAGAATCCATCTGTCTTCGGTCGCAAGGTTTTCGGCGCTCGAATTATTTCATTCCTAAGATTCAGCAAAATTGCTTCGGATTCTAACATTTCTGATTCGAAATTTGCTTGAGTAGCTATTGTCTCAGCAATAGTAGCAATAAGAGTAACAATAATGGCTTTGTTTACGTTCGAAAGTGGCATCTTGATCAATCGTCGTAACGAACAGTAATTGCGCGTTATTTATATATATTATTTATACTATACAGACCATTATATAACATGCATAACTTGTCAACTAAAAAGGAAATTTTCTGCTTACTCTATTTAGCAAGAGCTAATGAGCACACCTCCCCCCCATCTACAGCAGAGACCGTCCCCATATAAGGAAAGTGTTACACAATTCAATAAATCAAGTTTTTATACATTTTAAAATACTTTTTCGCAGAATTGTGTAGCTCATCGCTACAAAAAAATGTAATTGGGAATGCTAAGCAAACTTGAAGCTTTTACAGCACAGAATACTATATTTCTTGAATCCCGTTGAATCCCTCACCCTCGCGTAGTATTACTTAACGAAAATGCCTAAGAATAAGCGTTGCACAGAATGCGATTCTAAAGACTCGGCTAAATTCCGTTCGTTGAGTGGAGAGAAATGGAGAGATGCTCTGAACAAAGGTTTAGTGAAGCAAATGTGGGAGGAAGGAGTTATTCTATGCAATACTTGTTATATGCAATTTGTAGAGAATCCATTAAGAAGAGGCGTTAAAAGAGTGAAAGTTGTAAATGAGGAAGAGGTAGGTATGAAGATTGAGCTAACTAAAGCCATCGAAGCATTAGGTGAAATTCTTTATGAAAGGGAACGTGTGGAGAAAAAAGACCCAATATATTCATTTGATCAAATGCGAGACTTGCTCCAAGAAAAGGAGCCTAGCCTAAAGGCTTTTTTCAATCAGCTTTATTTGGCAGCCCGACCAATGGAACGCAACATACAAACAATGGATCGTATGAAAAGATTGATGGTTTTTATATGTTATCTTCTTGCTTCGCTAAATAACACAAAAATTAACTGTCTCAAGTTTGACCTGGCATATTATTTAGATTCAGCAGGCACAAGTAATGAAGGTTGCTTATTTTTAATGTTTTTGTTCATGATTTGCGACCTATTGTATACTAAAGTATATTACCAAAAGTGGACAAAATTAAACATAAGAAATGACAGTTTACATATTTTTCGTAGTCATTTTATGTGCCATTGCATTATATAATAATAAATGATCGAATCTATTATTATGAAGAAAGAAAGAAAGAAGGTATCGTATATAATATTACAGATGACGTCATCCCCCTCTATGATATCCAACCCCGAATATATCAACGAAATTAACCGGTCCCGTAAGGTTGATATTAGAGAGGGTCGACTGTAGTGGAAACGAAAAAAACCGTGCAATGAGAATATGGAGGGTGTACATAAATGAAGGGTACTTGCATGGAGGGTTCACTGTAGTTATATATGTGTGTGAGATTAAACTTCTATTAAAAATAATTTGTCATATCGTCACGTTCAGATTTCGCCTAGCGTATTCACAATTTTACGCGTATTTCTATACTCAGTCGAGATTGTATTTTTATTTTAGATAAATGCTTCGATATTTAAATCAACTAGATCAAAATTATGGGGGACTTCGCCCCTGTTGCTACTAATAAGAAGCGGTTGTTAATGTGTTTTTGAGGGCTTTACTGTCGGTTAACACAATGGTTATGCAGGCAGCATTATAACAGTATAAAGTTATGCATATTAATATATATTTGTGAGCGTGACGTAATTATTATTATTATTTACAACAACGACAATAATATGTAATGTATACTAGAAAAATTACCACGCTTCAGAAAATTTTGTAGATTTAGCTAGACAATTGACATTTTTTACTAATATGATCTTAATTTTAAACACTAACTGTTCTAGTTTGTAATTGTTTTTTATGTATGCGATTATAATTATTCAATTAACTTGATTAACTCAACTTGTTACACAATTAATTATTATTTCAATCCCATAACGAGGGTAGGTTCAGTTTTGTCGACGCTAGATTTGCAATTTTGTTCGATTGGGTATTTGAGCGTAGTTGTAGTACTTTTCTACTGGCTTTTTTCTTGCCTTTTGATTCCTGGTCACTTTCTATAATAGATACGAAATCTGTATCGTGTTGCTTTGTTGATGTTGATGTTTCAGTAGTGGGAGTGGTTTGGTTATCGGTTTCGATAATTTTTTCTTTTTTTGTGGTGAAGAGTTTGGTTATCGAAACATGCTTTGTACACGTCGGACTTTTTTGGGACAAGAAGGGACGTTGTGGGCTAATTGGTTTGTTCGCATAATGAAACGGCGATGTTATTATTAAATATATTAACGAAATTAATAGGTCATTAAGAGCAAGCATTAAAATTAGAAACATTGTAATTCTTATTTAATAGTTATATATTATAAATATTACGAATAGTATAAAAAGGCCGATGGGAATATATATCTCTTGCCTCAGATATGTTTGGGATGTGGACCCATTGTAAGTCTGTGACAAGTGTACTATGAAACATGGATCATAATAGTCAACATAATCATTCGTCCAGCAATAGTAAAATTATTTATATAGAAAAGAATTATTCTCTAAAATAGATAACTAGTAGCTATGTGCGATATTAGAGAATAGATACTTGAATGATATAATAAAGTTGGCTAAGTCGGTGGCCTCGTCATCACGCATCGACACTACAGAGCTCTATTGTCACGGTGAGGAGACGCAGCTGCCTCGCGAAGAAAACCGGTGACAATATTATTAGAGTTTGAATGATTGCATATATCGCTATAAAATCCACAACCGTCTGGAAAACAGATCAAGAATAAGATGGCTTCTAGTTCGGGATCATTAAAGCGACGAGAGCAATGAGCATACTCATTACATATTTCGTCAGGTAAGACGTATGGAGTCAGACGGATGTACGGGAAGAGGAATGAAATCATTTTCTGAAACATGGTTTGCTTGAGCCCAGACGGTAGATGTTTGGGAATATGTGCAAGCAAACGCGAAGCAATAAAATAATAATAATAAGTGGATAGATGAGAATTATTTTGTTGTAGCCAGTCGCAAGCATAACGCAAGGATGGAGGAGAGGACAAATCAGCATTTTGTAGAAACGTGCCAATAATGCTTGAATAAAAGTGAAAATGTTCTGGAATAGCCCATTTGCATTTGACCAACTGAGCGATCGATGTTGCACAAAAGAATTTGCACCAGTGGAACGACTTAAACTGATATGTAAGTAAATAGGAGAAAGATCATGGATACATTGGGTAGTTAAGCATGTTCGATTATTAGGATTTGATTTGCATCCATCACAAATTGCAATTTTTGCTGGGCTGCGTAGATTAGTACTAAGATTTATTTGAAAGATGTTTGCAAAGAATAAGTAGTGTCATTATCTCTGACTACCCATTTTGCAGATTACGGGTATAATAAGCGTGAACAATAAGAACAGGGAAATTGAGCATAATCCTCTTCATAAAGTGAGCGCAAGACTTTTTGTAGTTCATCGGAAGGACTCCAATATGTGGTGTTTGAAGAATCACAAGTCTGGGGAAGTGGTATTTTAGATAATGGAATGGGAAATAAAGACGACATATATCAATGGTCATTAATAGACCATGAACTAGTAACATTATAAAAAACATTTTGTTTTCTTGCAGAGAATCGACGGTAAATATATCGAGGGCTTGAGACATTATTTTCTTTCAAACTGATAAATAGATCATTGTTTATTACTATTTACTAGGAGAATAGTGTAATGGATTGTTGTTATACTTTATATTTTATGCAAAATGAGGCATCAAGTAAAGATGAGCTTTAATTCCCATGGTAGATTAGTAGTGCAAGGTATGAGCATTCCGTTAATCGATAAAAATTTTAACAAAGCCAGTTCCACTAAAAAGAACTTATCTATTCGATGGACTCGAAACTCTGGAGGAACTTGATGACGTCACGGAATATTTCGCAACATACCTCCTGTACCCCCAACACTCAGATGATGCGATTCACACGCTCCATAGATGTAGTGTGACCAAGTTTGAATCTAGTATATGTTTTCAATAGAATATATATTAATATATTTTCTCATGAAATAAAGCTATTAGGGCACATATTTTTGCATAATGTACCCGTACAAATAACTCAGGTGACCAATCTGTTACAAAAAAACATAGCACACACAACATATAAAGAGAATTGATGTTGTTTATTGGTGTATTAACTAATAGGTGGAAAAATCAAAAGCAACGCTATTCGACGTGCCGTTAGAATGATTTCTCGAGCCGATGTCCTACTCGAAAAGAATAGTGTATACTTTCACAGAAAAAAAAAAAGCGTACGTGGGGAGACAGACGTAAGCAATCGCTGATAATTGGTAAGGATAGTAATACCAAACTCCAAAAATCTAATCGTAAAGTAGAAGAACTAACCAGAAAATCAGTTGCTTAATCAATCATCCAATCTCATTTTTGTTTGCGGACATTACGAAGGATTCGACGAGCGAATTAGTTATTACGTTGCATTGAGAATTCAACAGTGCAATCACATTCTGCTCGGCATTGCGTTATCCATTCGACAACTCGGTAACAATACGTTTAATCCCCCGTTGAGAAAGGCGAGTGGTAATTTCCCCCTGATTATTACGCCCCACGTGTGAACTCATTGAAAAGGTTCCAGAGTCTGAGGTAATTTGCATATAACTTTTTTGTAGATATTGCAAAACTGTAAAACCAAGAGTTTCCCTCTGTTGTTGGAAAGATCGTATAGTCTCCGCTCAGGCTGTTATAGAATCGCAGAAGTCGTGGATCAGTAGAGACACCAGTGGCTGTAATAGGAGCTGTAGAAAGAGCAGGAACATCTTTATCCGGTTCTTTCTGACCTCGTTCAGGTTCAGACTGCTAGTCTTCAGGCAGAGTTGTGATATTATGAATGTCATCACTTGCTGTAGACATTTTGAATGAGCGGGGAGTTCTTTGAATGAACCAGGCCATCTGATTTATACATGACGACTAGCAACCACATTTTCTCGGAAGTTCTGAAACAGGTTTCGCTCTTGTTCTTGTTGAAGACACTCGTTTTAATCTGAAACAACTGAAACGAGCTGTTTGAGCGGTGATGTAAGTGAATTTGGTATTTAAAGCATGTCGGCAAAGTCGAGTGATCTGAATGAGAAATGATCGCCATTATCGGCCAAGATACAACCGTTTGTTATTGAGTTTGTTACTGTCCCTGTAGACTCGATGACATTACTTTCTCATATTATTCTCCAGAAACAAAAAATGATCCTCCAACGATACGTCCTGCATATTCCAATTATTCTTTCTCGTCTAGGCAGACCTTTAAGAGTTTTCACGTTCTCTAACTTTTCATCTTTCTCTCCACCAAATCCATTGATAATTCCATCTGGCCGTTCAATTTCATTCTTTCCGCCAATATTTTGTCTGCAACCATCTTTCTCAAACTTTCTCTACTTTTCAACTTTGCGTGGTAGGAATAAATGGAGATGGACTGGTGTTGGTATTCAGTGACGTTCCAGGACGTAATAATGTTTGAACTTTTCTGGGCGTGGCGGAGAGATGGAGATGTTTTTGATGCAGCAGTGGTAAAAGCGGACTTCTCATCAGGCGTTGCGGGAATGTAGGTGATGGAGGAATGGCGAGGACGGGTGTGAATATTGGAGTGAGGGTTTGAAACGGAAGCAGAACTGTCATTTGAGCTGCCACTTGAAACATCACTTATTATTATTCCGTCATTAAAATAATTCTGTTGAGTTTTGATTCGTATTTAATAAAAGCTATGCGTCGACCCAATTCCGGCTCTATCCTAATAAGGGGTTTCCAACATTTCTGTAGTTTCGGAAGACTCGGAATTTGTGAATGTCGGTATCATGTTGAAATTTGATAACTCGTATCCAAATGTTACACTGAGTATTCGATGTGATGTGCGATTTTGTCACCCAGCCAATACCATCAATTGTTGTGTATCACTCATGACATTTTAGAAAACTGTTATCAAGTATGCGAAATGGAGGGTATTAGTACCACATTCACCGAGCTGACAAATATACCGAATAACTGAGTATCGCTCACTCAAGCGGCAAAACTCCAAGCTATCTTCCCTACCAAGTTTAGTGCACTCTCACCAGTTCATCGAGCCAATCAAATTTGGAAATTGGCAAAAAAGGGTAATACCATCTAGCCGGACGGCTTGATGGATCGTCTCCGCGACGGCTCGATAGGACATATACTGTACGTGATGGTTTACAGTAAATAAACTTTGGGTAATTGGCGAATGTAATTTTTTCGATTACAGTCAACTCTCTTTATAACGCAGCGTAGTACATATAATAAATTATATAACGTTTTTGAAAACGGGCAGAGCACAGCGGTCGTTATAAAGAGAGTCGACTGTATTATCTTTTTTCGTAATATAACTGCTGAGCACTGTCCAGTCAACGATAAACCGATTTCCAAATTCGATTGGCTCGGTGAAACAGACAAATTACCGGATTTGATAGAATAGTGGAGGTAAACCCAATAAGCGATAATAACACTAATAAATCTTTACATAAATAGTCATTTCGGAGTGAAAGATTTCAATCAGGTATGTGGGAATTTACTGCGGATAAGCCACGCGGTATAATTTTAATACAGACTGATCTTTATGAGAGCTATAAACAAACGTTTGCGACTGTCAAACTCAACCAATATATTGTCAAGTATAATATAATAGCATGACGTAATACTGCTGATAATAATAAGTCATACATATAAAAACTAACAATAGCGATAATAACACACTAATAAGTATAGAAAAGCATCATGACGTGAAAGGAGATGATAACATATATGGCTATCGTCATAATTAGTTTCTATAAATAAGAACAAGACATTTCGGAGTGAAAAGTTTTCAATCAGGGGTAAGGGTTAACGACGTGCGAATTTACTGCGGATAAGCAGCCTATGATTAGTAACTAAGCTATGATATATCGACGTAAGTAAATTACGGCAATGCGTTCCAATTGTTGCTCTATTAGCGAGACTCTTGTTTTATACAGGAAAAAGAAATAATATTTTAATCGATTTTTGCATGTTTGCGCGTGCCCAAAATGAAATAGTCGACTCATATTACAGATTAATAGTAAATTTTATTGTCCGTTAACATCCAAATAATGCAACATGGTTTCGGAAAATAAAAGCCCGACTCCTATAAAAGGAATCGAGACCGGTGGTACAGTCCAGGTTCGCCCTCCCACTATCGCTAACACGACACCAATAACTACTGGACTTATAAAGTATACTTTTCGTTTAAATCTATTAAGTAATTGATTTGTCACTCTTAATATTAACAGAGTGACCAGTCGAACTACAAAAATTATGAACATTTGAATTAAATTAAAATCGCTGCCCGCTTTATAATTGTCCCAGCGTTTTAAAAAGTCTTCATCGTCTTTTTTAGTATAGGCCCAGTAATTACCGCCAATGACACCAACTAAGCTGAGGGTCGCGAAAATAAGACCGAGGTAATATCGCTATTTAATTAATCGACGTCAGAACTACATAATCTCAGTGAAAATCTTAATAAATGACATCTAAGCAAACATACCAATTTTTTTTTCTCGTCGAGAATGAACTCCAAAAACCTGCGTCTCTCATTATTGTTGTCGATAAGAGCGTATGATCTTCGTTCGTGTACGCTCAAGCTGTTATAGGCTCGCAGAAGTCGTGGCTCCCTAAGGATATCAGTGGCTGTAATAGGAGCTGTAGCAACTCGTTCACGTTCAGGCTGCTGTTCTTCAGACCGATGGGTTTCAGACTGCTGGCCTACAGACTGCTGGTCCACAGAGCGCCGGGTTGACCGAGTGTCAAGTTCAAAAGCGGCAACGTCATTAGTTGTAGACATTTTATTGGATTTGGGATAAGAGGGAAGTTTTTTGAATGAATTACGGCCTTAAATTACGGATTATGCTTCTTTGACTAATAATTTAACTGCAAGTTCCAATGCTTCGGATATTAATCTAGTTGAGAGACAACAGCGACAAGTTTGAATTACTCATGCGGGACTTGCCGTCTGATTTATACATGACAACTGGCCTCATGACCGAATGACGCGACAAGACAAAACATGGGTTAGCGTAGATCTTATTTTTCCCGATCAATCCCGGTTCGTGTTGCGATTCTTTTTTCGTCACAATTAAATAAATCTGCAATATATAAAACACATGATATCAGACATGTCTTCCGAACTAGATTTACTCAGACAAAATATAACAACAATACTACCGATAATAATAGGCTTTACGATAACAATGACAACACTTGTAAGTCTCGACATCTAATAGAAAAGCATAAGCGATATTAGATCGCAATTGTCATTATACTATCAGAGAACGTTGTGGAGTAAAAATATTATCGATCAGCAGATAATAACAGGACATTGCAATTATCATAATTAGTTATATAATAAGAACAATAGTATCAGTGAAATGTTCAGTATAAGGGGGTACCGACTAGTGGAGTGGGAATGGGACTACTGATATAATAATTCTTTGCGATAGCGATAATAACACTAACAAGTTTTTACATCTAATAGAAATATTGCAATTGTCGTAATTGGTTTCTATGAATAAGAACAAGACATTTCGTTTCAATCAGGAGAAAGGGGTAATGTGGGAA